AGGATTAGGAACAAAGGATCTGTAGTCCCTGTTCAGAGCCACATAAGTGACTTTGATTATTTATGGAAGCTATGTGATAGGACTAAGAAACCTGTCTTTGTTCCTTGAGATAGTCTCCATTCTTGTTTCCTATCACCAAAAGGGAGGAAAAAAATAAAAGCAGAAAACAAAGCCAATCAAACCAATCCCTTCTCCTCCCACATCCCTTCCTCTAAGGGACCAATCCCTCTTCCCTGCCTTACATGCATGGGCAGCTTTCTGCTTCTTGCCTACACCAATACTTTGCATCTCTACAGCATATGAAATAGATTTATTTTTCCATAGTGTGTAAATATTGACCTAGTCAAGGAACTTTTAAATATGAGAATTTCCCAACAATATTTAAGCCCAAACATCTTTGATGTTCAAGCCTTAAGAGAGCTATCAGAAGGTCAAAATGGGGATTGAAAGTAATTTAGGCAATCAGTATGAGATACTAGATGCCATGAAATAAATCCAATGTATTGAGATTCTTCTAACATCCATACTCAAATTCATACATTTTTTATTACCACAGGATATGCATGTGTGTGTGTGTGTGTGTGTGTGTGTGTGTGTGTGTGTGTGTGTGTGTGTAGAAATACATGGATTATGTGTTCCATCCTTTAAAAGCTTATGACTTTATAGAACACACAATCATCAACAGAGAGGCTGTAGACTTTGAAGACAGTGATTTACAGTTCCATTTGAAAAGGGGAAATAAGTAAATACTTCCAATGAGATTTCTCTCCCAGGAAAAATGTTGTCTCCTCAGATATAAAAAAAAATAACCAATCACCTTTTTAGCTTAGATGGCAGGAAGGTAACTCAAAGTTTAATTACAAAATAAAGCCTAACCCTGAAAATTTTGATTCCCTCTTCTTTTTTAAATAATCCCCATGTGTAGGCCTTAGAGGGGTCCATCACATGATGTAGGCACCATTGAGGGTCTGGAAGAGAAGACCCACACATACTGTAGCTCTGAACAATTCTAAGGTGAAGGGTTTAAACTTTGCCACTTTTACAACTAAATTTAGGTTTCACTTCTCTGAGTGGGTCAAACAGGTGTCTCTCCTAACAAAGGGCCATTTATCAACAAATGGCATTCAGGGATGAGGGAGAGAGCACAAACAAGGCCTGAGTCAACCGCACAATGTCTCAAGGACAGTTCCTGCAACCCTCTTGAAGGAACCCAAGTATGTGCAAAGATAAAACTTCAGCCAACTAAAAATATACTAATGTAACTGCTGCTTGCTTAACCAGTTGTGTTTAAGATATCCTAACCATCCCTAAAACTCCTCTAGCTGTGCTTAAAAGTGGCCTGCACACTTCTCTCAGGGTCATTGCCATGTTGTACAGGTGAATGACCCCCACATATGCTGGTAAATAAACGCTCTTTGCTCTTGCATACTATTTGAATCTGGGGTCTTCCTTCAGCATTTTCTCAGACCCTTACAAGGTGCTTTGACAAGGGACAATATACAAAAAGGGAATCAAAGATGTTATACGAACAGAAGAAAAACTTCAATATCAACTTGTGCTTCTCAGTGTGACCTCGGATCCTATGGAGACATTAAGTTTTAATGCAGGAGACAATTGTTATTTATTCAATTTTATCACTCATCAGTTCCAAATTATTTCAGTGAGATATGAACCATGAAAAGAGGGAAAATGGAACTGAATTTTTTTTTCTAATTCACTTACGATGGAACTTTACTTTCAATGTAACAAAAAAAAATCTAGTTTTTGGAAGGATATCAATTTACGCACAATTCTTATGTAGTAGTATCCTTGAGGTTAAAAACTTTCATCCTAGAGAAAAACACAATGTTAAAGGGGTGGTAAAACAATGGGATAGTTTAAAAACAGAATGTCTACAGGGAAGAGAAGCAACAGGATTTTTCTAAGGAAAGGTGAAACATTCCATATTGCACAGATGTTTATTAAGACAGGAAGTAAGCCGGGTGGTGGTGGCGCACGCCTTTAATCCCAGCACTCAGGAGGCAGAGCCAGGCGGATCTCTGTGAGTTCGAGGCCAGCCTGGACTACCAAGTGAGTTTCAGGAAAGGCGCAAAACTACACAGAGAAACCCTGTCTCGAAAAACCAAAAAAAAAAAAAAAAAAAAAAAAAAAGACAGGAAGTAAACAACTTAAAATAGCTTCAGGAAGTCCCTGAAACCAATCAGATTCACTAGGTCCCTCCCTCCTCAAGGTGCTATAAGCAGTAAAGACTGCCCATAGACACTGGAAGATAAGCCTAGCCGCTTGGGAGAAGCAGAGACCGTCTGAGCTGCCCAGAAGACTTTCAGGCAAGCTGAGCTACCATTGAGAGGCTCAGACCAAATGAACCACCCGGAAAGAACACCATCTAACCCACGGTGCTGCCTGTAAGTTGTGCAATAAGCTCCAGGTTTCCAGCTGGGTGAGCTGTCCCCATGCTGCATTGGGCTTTGGTAATGTAGCCGTCTTTGAGTCATTTCTACTCCTGTAAATAACCCCTCACCCATATTCCTGTAAGCAAAACAAATAAAACTCATTGGTTTACCAAGTTAGACTTTGGTGACATCCATACTTGGTCTGTCACCAGTTTCCTGTCTGGGGTGAAATGCTTGTTCACATCTCCCCAGGCATAGTGTCACGCAGCAATAACATAATACAGTTCTTTTCTAGAGTGACTTTTTCAGAATATGTGAAATGCTGGGTGGTGGTGGTGGCATACGCCTTTAATCCCAGCACTAGGGAAGCAGAGATCAGTTCGAGGCCAGCCTGGTCTACAGAGCAAGATCTAGGACAGGCACCAATACTACTCAGAGAAACCTGTCTTGAAAAACCAAAAAAAAAAAAAAAAAAAAAAAAAAAAAAGTGAAACATTTAAAAACATATGTGACGATGTGACTATCTTGTCATGATTTCTGTTCATTTTCTCTCGTTTTACAAGTCAGTGTCTCCTTCTATAGCTCAGACCAAGCTTGAACTTTCTGCCTTCCTGCCTGAGTCCCCTAAGTGCTGGGATTACCAGTGTGTGCTTCTATAGTTACTATGGTTTTAGTTTATATCTGGAATTGTGCAAGCAAAATTTCTAAAAAAAAAAAAAAAAAAAAAATGCCTCACTAAATTCAGGGTACCATTCAGTGGTCTTGTCATTTTGCTAAAGAAGACACATAATGAATAGTATCTTAACTGACTTAGCATGTGAAAGTCTCATTTACAGTTGCAATAAGGTATTTCAGCAATGCACCTCTGCCTGGGAACTTTGCATGGTGCATGATGCTGGAGTGAAGGGTTTACAAAAGATATCAAACTGGAGTTCATAGAAAAATACTATTAAAGCTGATACAATCAAATAGTCTAGCAATCAACAAATACACTAGACTAAAAAAAAATAGAATATTTACATCACAAACATTCTATAATGTAAATGTGTAAAGAATGAGGATTTACAAAATCCCTGTAAAGTGCAAAATGTAATTGGGAGGGCAAGAGATTCAGCTTCTGTGTTTGGTAATTTGGACAGCATTCCTAAGAAGTTCAATCTATTATTGTAGCTAGTAATTAGTAATTTAAACAGGAGTCTGTTTTTCTGAGGACATCTGGGGCTCTGAGACAGTTAAAGGACACATATTAAGACTCCTAGGATCTCCTCTTGGTGGAGGAGGAATCTCTAGGCTTTGCCTGGTCCTCAGCTTGAAGCTACTCACAGCATGGAGTTGGAAGCCTTCTAGACCAGCAGAGGAGGGAAGCTAGTATGGAGCTCTGTACCCACACTACAGATAACTGCCTCCCTGCAACCTTAGGACCGGAGACCGCCTAACTTCTGCAATGTGAGTATTAAAATGTTCCTAGGCTGCCGGGTGGTGGTGGTGCACGCCTTTAATTCCAGCACTCGGGAGGCAGAGCCAGGCAGATCTCTGTGAGTTCGAGGCCAGCCTGGGCTACAGAGTGAGTTCCAGGAAAGGCACAAAGCTACACAGAGAAACCCTGTCTCAAAAAAAGAAAGAAAGAAAGAAAGAAAGAAAGAAAGAAAGAAAGAAAAGATGTTCCTAGGCCTAGGAGCACAGTTCAGTGGAAAAACATTTACCTAACATGCACAAGGCCCTGGGTTCAAACTCCAGGACTCAAAATCAGTGAATAAATTAACATTAAGAATCCAACTTTCAGCCAGGGCGGTGGTGGCACACGCCTTTAATCCCAGCACTGGGAGGCAGAGCCAGGCGGATCTCTATGAGTTCGAGGCCAGCCTGGGCTACAGAGTGAGTTCCAGGAAAGGAGCAAAGCTACACAGAGAAACCCTGTCTCAAAAAACCAAAAAAAAAAAAAAAAAAAAATCCAACTTTCAAGCCAGGCAGTGGTGGTGCATGCCTTTAATCCTTGGGAGGAAGAGACAGGCAAATCTCTGGGAGTTCAAAGCCAACCTGGTCTACAAAGCTAGTTCCAGGACAGCTAAGGCTATACAAAGAAACCCTGTCTCAAACAACAACAACAACAGAACAGAAGAATCCAACTTTCTTTAGTAATATGAACATCACAACATGAGCCACAAGTAGGTGAGACAGTACAGTCCTGTAATCCCAGCATTTGGGAAGTGAAAGCAGGAGGTCAGCCATTTGAGGTCATCTTTGGCCATATAAGGAATTTGAAACAGGTTTGAGCTCCACGGGACATTCCAAAAACTAAGAGGAAAAGGGAATATGCAATGCATTATAGAATGAGAAGAAAAGTGATAACCCTGGAAACCAGAACTTAAGGATTTTTTTTTCCAGTTTCTTCAAAGTCTGTGAAGAAAATTGGTCATGAAATGTTTAATAACATATTGGTCTCCCAATGTTTACTGACACCCTCTTTAAGAAACGTTCTGTCAGCCACGCAAACCGTCATTTTTTATTGGTAACTTTGAAAAGGCATCTCACTTGTTTTAATGCTACAGTTTATTGCCACATCATTCATCAGCCGTAGTTGTCAGAGTGTTTAGGGTTCAGGCTAACTTTTATCTGCACAATTTTAATTTCATCAGATCCTAGGTCGGCAAGAGACTTCCTTGTCTGGCCCCTTCGGTGTCCAAATTTACACTTATTTCTCATTACTTGTTCATCATCTTCTATGGGTCTTCGAACATATTTAAAGCGATCTTTGAGGGCTCGTTTCCATAAAAACTGTGTAAAATAACAAAGCAGGCCAATCAGTCCTTAAAGAACATTGCATAATCCTGTCGAACAACACAATTTTTTGTATATCACCCTGAGGGCTGAAGTTATTTTTATTTTATTATCATAATAGAAGCCACAAATCTATCCTTAGATTTATCCTGACAGCAATTTTGTGATGTTGCTGTTCAAATTATAATCCCCCAATTAGAGCTAAGGAAACAAAGCAAGCAAACAAATGTACTTCATCTCCTTGTGAGAGAATGGAACCACTGAGATAACATTAGTCCAAGATCTGGCATTCAGATATTGCCATTCCTGATTTCATGGCTCAAGTTCCAGCATGCCTTGATCTCCAGAAAGCTCTGTAGCCTAGGTTGGGAAGATTTAGATTTCGGTACTAAATCTAGTATGTACTGACCAAGTAACTTTCCATAAGTAACCCTTTAGTCTATGTTCCTCCACTACCAAATGGAACAGCATGATCTTTCCTGCCCAATGCACTATGTGTAAGCAGGTACCTATGCAGGGGTGCATTCCATGCAGGTGTATGCATAGGGAAGGAAGCCAGAGGTCACTGTTGGGTGTAATTTTTCAGGAGCCACCCACCTTGGTCTCTCACTGGCCTGGGGCCTGATGACTAGCCTGGGCTGGCTGACTAGTCTTCAGCGATCTGTTTCTCTCCACTTTCCCAGCGCTGGGATCATAAGAGTGTGTGCATCACCATGCTTTTGGTGTGAGTGTTGGCTATCACACTTGAGTCCCACGCTTACGTGGCAAGCACTTTACTGACTGAACTAAATGAGAGAAAAAGAGAGAGAGAGAGAGAGAGAGAGAGAGAGAGAGAGAGAGAGAGAGAACACTCCTAAACTGTGTTTTTAAGAGAATCTTGGTGATGCCAGATGGTGGTGGTGCACACTTTGATCCCAATACTCAGGAGGCAGAGGCAGGCAGATCTTGAGGCCAGCCTGGTCTACAGAGTGAGTTCCAGGACAGCCGGGGCTATACAGAGAAATCATTTCTCTAAAAATCAGAGAGAGAGAGAGAGAGAGAGAGAGAGAGAGAGAGAGAGAGAGAGAGAGAGAATCTTGTAAATAGTGACTTGTGGAAGATATTTATAAACTGCTATTCATAAAGCACCTTGACAGTTCGAAAGTCCTGGTGAGGCATTCCGTAGGCTCAGTAGGGGGCTGGTTTGTGCTTTGATTAAGCCCCTGGGTATGTGTGAGTCAGAGATGCTCCATCACCTCCCACAGGCTTATAGGTTCTGCCATTGTTTTACAACAGCACAAAACTAATAGATGGCTTGTGCTTTTTTTCTCAGTCCTGAAATATAAACTAGCTCGAATATATTTGTCTCTGTGTTTCCTACAGTTCAGAAAGGACTCTAGCTGTGCTGAACCTAGTAGACGCTATTATAGCCATCAGTTGCTAGGTTATCATTCCATGAACAAGTCCTTCTGACTCTCTTCACGCATATCTCAAACTGGAAAGGACCAACCATGTAAGTGTTCACTCTATGAGAGTTTAGTGAGCACCTGCTATATGCCCCGTATTGTGAGTTATTCGCTTAACAGTGTGAGGTAGGTAGACACAGTGGGAGATATTTGAGCTGTGGACTTATCATCCCTCCTTCCCCATATTCTCCAGCTAAAGAAGATGGGAAGAGTCCTACACAAACACAGCTTTCCTAATCATTCTGAAGCTACGCGCTTCTTGTGGCATATGAGGCAATCTGTAGCCCTGGGCGGGTGCATACCCTGTGTTGCAAACCCAAATTTAATCATTAAGAAACATTCAGATAAGTGAAACATGTGTATCACCTTAAATGACATCTGGGGAAAAAACAACAACAACTTGCCTGCTCCAGGAGTCCAGTCGAAGAGAGGGAGGAGGGATTCTATGAGCAAGGGGGGGGTGGTCAAGATCGTGATGGGGAAATCTACAGAGACAACTGAACTAAGCTCATAGGAACTCATGAACTTTAGACCAACAGCTGTGGAACCTGCATGGGACCAGACTGGACCCTCTGCATACGGGAGACAGTTGTGTAGCTGGGTCTGTTGGAGGGGCCCCTGGCAGTGTAATCAGGATCTATCCCTGGTGCATGAGCTGGCTTTCTGGATCCCATCGCCTGTGGTCCGATACCTTGCTCACTCTTGATGCAGCAGGGAGGGGCTTGGCCCTGCCTCAACTGAATGTACCAGGCTCTGCTGTCCCCGAATGGGAGGACTTACCCTTTTGGAGGAGGGCATGGGGAGATGGGTCCAGAGGGAAGGCCAGATGGGGGGATCAGGAGGAGGGATGAGAGGGGGATCTGTGGTTAGTATGTAAAATGAATTAAAAAAAAAAAACAACTTGACTAGAAAGTAAATATCAGGGAAAACAAAGAAGACAAAGAGACTAAATTGGGAAAAAAACAGAAACAGATGAATCGGATACAATCCATAATACAGATTGTATGGGACATGCAACTATTATTAATTTTCATAGGCATAAAAACAGTATTGTTGCTATAGAGGAAACTGTCATTATCCGTCTGAGGCCTACGCTGAAAAGACTGTGGCTGTGGCTCTGTGGTAGAGCACTTGCCTAAAATGTAAGAAGCCCCGAGTTCAATCCCTGATACAGCAAAAATAATGCAACAAACAGTCAAAAGGTGTTTAGAGATGTCACCAGTAACTTCTAAACAATCACGTAACACAAACAACGCTCGGGATGAAGGTAGATGCCTCAATAGCCAGTGAACCTGGACCAGCAGCTCTTCACCAGCCTGCTGATGCTGCGCCCTTCTCTTCCCCAGAAGACATCTCACGGGTTTGAGGACATGTCTTGTGATTGCAGTGGAAAGGGCACTACACACATGTGGTGGGTGTCAAGGGTCCTGCTCACTGTCCCACGATGCTCAGGATGATCCTCACTACAGAGAACTAGTAATTATCCAGCACCAAGTTGCTGTGGGATGTTCTGTATGGCAAATGTGTTGCTAATTAGTCAATAAATAAAACACTGATTGGCCATTGGCTAGGCAGGAAGTGTAGGCGGGACAAGGAGGAGAATAAAGCTGGGAAGTGGAAGGCTGAGTCAGAGAGACACTGCCAGCCGCCACGATGAGAAACAGCATGTAAAGATGCCGGTAAGCCATGAGCCATGTGGCAAAGTATAGATTAATGAAAATGGATTAATTTAAGCTGTAAGAACAGTTAGCAAGAAGCCTGCCACGGCCATACAGTTTGTAACCAATATAAGTCTCTGTGTTTACTTGGTCGGGTTTGAGTGGCTGTGGGACTGGCAGGTGAGAGAGATTTGTCCTGACTGTGGGCCAGTCAGGAAAACTCAAGCTACACCAAGTATAGTCATGTGAAGAGAAATTTTGATCTTGAAAGGCCTATGGTAAGCCACTGTGTAGATTTGAAAATTTACAAGATAAAGAGTTTCAAATATAAATCATCCCTGAAAGTGACCAAGTATTCTCTCTTCCTCTTTTTTCTTCCTCTGTCTCTCTTTTTACATACATACATACACACACACACACACACACACACTACACCCCTCTCAATATTCTTAGGCATTTCCTACATTGTGCAATCTAGCATGAGGACCACAGCCTCATATACAGATGTGATGGATGAGAAGCTGGGCAAATACCTATCCATGCACCAGCCTCCACTTATACTCTTCAACTGTACAAATGAGGCCACAACCTGCTAAGCCATTTTCCATGGCTCTCTATTATCTTTACATAATTATGTGGGAACGTGTAGATCACATGCCCACAGGAGTTCAGTAGACATTATTCATTACTTTGTAGGTATCTCACTTCAATAACCATAAGAGTAAAGGTCAAAATGTAACTGGCAGGCAGGAGAGATGACTTAGTGAGGAAAGGCACTAGGTGCCAAGTCTGATGACCTGGATTTGATTACTGGGACCCACACAATGGAAAGAGAGAACCGACTTCCACAAACTGTCCTCTGCATCCATCCACATGACACACGCACACACACATAGAGAGAGAGAGAGAGAGAGAGAGAGAGAGAGAGAGAGAGAGAGAGAGAGAGAGAGAGAGAGAGGAGATAGAATTAAAAATATTACAGATATTTATTTGCCTCTATAGGTAAGACTCTCTGGAATGACTCCCTGTTAATTTCAAGTATCTCTGTGCTACCTGGTATATATAATACGATGCAAATATCGGGTAAGAGTGGCATCGCTTGGGGGACAATGAGAGGAAAGCAATCTGTCCAAGTTCAGTAGAAATGCACCATCCTGGTCTTAATTACATAGCACAGTATTAGAGATTGATTGAAGCTGAGGGTGTGGGATTTACAGAGACAGAGACGTGCCTGTCACTGATCAGATGATCAATGTTATATTGTATCTTAAATGGAGAAGGAGCACTGAGGGTCAGTGTTACCTGTGTTCTCCTGACTAGAGTTGTCAGATCCCAGATTTTTGCTGTTGCTTGGCTTGCAATATTTTGTTTTTAGTAAGAGAAAAATTGGGTTCTTTTGTAGCATGCTTTATATACAGAAACACATTTTTTAAAAGGATTTCATCCTTTGTTAGCAAAAGTCTTGACTAGCTGCTATTTCCAGGCATGGGATACCACAACTTTTCTGAGTTTGGAGGGTAAAAGAGAGTCCTTAAGGCCTTCTATCATTCAGCGTCTTCTGATTTTACCTATGTATACTAAGCCCTTACTTGAAGATGGGAAGATGACAGAGAGAAAGGGAAAAGGAAGGAAGAAAAGTAAAAAAAGAGAGAAGGATGGAGGTGGGAGGGACAGAGGAAAAATTCCTTCCCTGAATGTAGTTGAGAAGATGAGATACAGAAGCACATCTATCATCTTAGCTGTGTTTACCAGAGTGGATTCATATAGAGATAGATACCAGCGTGGATTCATATAAAGACAGATGCCACAGTGGATTCCTATAGAGACAGATACCACAGTGGATTCATGTAAAGATAGATACCAAAGTGGATTCCTATAAAGACAGATACGGGAGTAGCAGCGTATCTTCAGGTACACATACCTATAGTTTCTCACCACTGTTTCTTAAATCATACTTTTCCTGTCAAGAATGTTCAACTTTTTGTTACAATTTTAAAGTATTTAAGTTTATCATTCAGTAATGCTAAACATATTTCCACTGTTACAATGAAGACATAAGATGTTCTTCTTGTTTCATGTGAAACAGCATCTCATGTAGCCCAGACTAGCTTTCAAGCTCCTGGTCCTCCTGCCCCAATCTGCCTAATGGTAAGGCCTCAGTTGGTATGCCAGTTCCTAAGCATGCTTGAGCACTGGTTCTCAACCCTTGATATCCATCACAGCCTTTGGAATCTTTTGAAAGCCTTGGTGGCAGAATCACATCATTTAAATCAGAATCTCTGGTGTTTCTGGAGGACAAACACCAAGAAACTGTTTCTTAGAGCATCCTTAGAGTCTACCTAATCCAGACAGCAGAGATGTGAGAGGGTGGATGAGGTAGGGGGACAAGACCTCAAAGCCAGACAACTTCCCCTTTGATTAGATCAGAAAGCAAGAAACACTCCATCAACCACAGCTCTGATGAAGCCATGTCCTCCTTCTGGGTATTCACAGGAGCTATGAGTTACACAGGAGCTCCTGGATGGTGTTAGGAGAGGGACAGAAAGACGGTGACTTCCAGCTGAAGACAAAGATACATGGGACAGAGACAGAGATGAATCACAAAGGGAGTGAGAGAGAGAGAGAGAGAGAGAGAGAGAGAGAGAGAGAGAGAGAGAGAGAGAGAGAGAGAGAGAGAGAATATGAACACCAGACTTGCCAATATGGACAGGGGAAAGACCACAATGCTTCAACACTACAAAAAGAACTATAGGCAACTAAGATTGGGAAAAATAGTCTTCCCTAGGAAAGAATACACCAATTCATTATCCAATACCAAATGGTAAGCCCTAAAACATATACACAGCAGACTAAGCAGGGTATATTTAGAATTATATATATATATATATATATGAATGTAACAATAAAAAGGTTATGAATTTGAAAGAGTGAGGAGGGTATATGAAAAGGATTGGAGGAAAGAAAGGAAAGGTGTGGAATATTCCTTTACACTGTGTGAATATATGTCTCTGTAATTGGTTTAATAAAGAAGGTGATTGGCCAATAGCTGGACAGGATAAAGTTAGGCAGGAGAGCCCAAACTGAGAATGATAGGAAGAAGGGCGGAGTCAGAGGAGTCTCAAGCAGACACAGAAAGAAGCAAGATGGACATACTGTGCTGAGAAAAGATACCAAGCCACGTGGCAAAGCATAGATAAGAAATATGGGTTAATTTAAAATGTAAGATTTAGCTAGTAACTTAATTAATATTAAGCCTCTGAGTGGTTACTAGCTTGAGGGACAGAAACTTATGCCAACAGAAAGGGATAAATGGTGTAATTATATTATACTCTCAAAGTAAAAAAAAAAAAAATTAAGAAAATGAAAAAAAAAATACCAGAGCCAGAGTGGAAAATGCAAAGCTCTTATTTCAAATAGACTAAGTTGGACAGGGTGGTGGGGCCACGCAGTCACTTACAAAGCCACAGCCGTCCTCATCCAGGAAAGGGTGGGCCTGCAGCAGAGCATTGACCACATCGTTGTACTGCTGGGTGGTGGGGTACCTGTTCACAACAGATAAGATGGAGTTCATGTCTAGCAGTCCCCAATTCAGGTGAGTGTAAAGAACACAGGTTTCTTCTAAACTTTCTCTTGTTGTGGTGTCTGTCTCTCTCTGCATGCGTGCGTGCGTGCGTGCGTGCGTGTGTGTGTGTGTGTGTGTGTGTGTTTAGGTATGGAGGCCTGAAGTTAACCTTGTTCCCCTGCACAGTTGACCTTGTTTGCTGAGACAGGGTCCCTCATGGCAAACTGAGCCCACTAATTGTTTAGACAAGCCTGGCTGGCCCATCAAGTACCAGGTACCCATCTGTCTGTGCAGAGCTATAGTCACAAGCATGTGCTGTCATGCCTAGATTTTTTTGTTTGTTTGTTTTGTTTTTCAAGACAGGGTTTCCCTGTGTAGCTTTGCGCCTTTCCTGGAACTCACTTGGTAGCCCAGGCTAGCCTTGATCTCACAGAGATCTGCCTGGCTCTGCCTCTCGAGTGCTGGGATTAAAGGCATGCGTCACCACCGCCCGGCATGCCTAGATTTTTATATGGGTGTTGGGGGCTATGCAGCAAGCACTGAATCAGCTTAGACAATAACCACAGCCCCTGTTCTAAATCTGCATGTTAAATTTTTATTCACTGTGTCATTCATAAACCATGGAGACTTGGTTCCCAACAAGTTCTACTCTCCTTTGAGCACAGATCACGTCCTCACTGTTAACTACTCACAGCGAGCCTTCCAGGTACTTTGTCATATCTGCCTGGAGAAACTCGATGATCCTTATCCTCATGCTGTGATCAGGGCACCTCTGCTCCGCCAGCACACACTTGACATCATAGGGAAACTCTGGTAGGACATAGGACTTAGTCCATTGTAATGCTTTATGCCTTGCTAGAACATGCTTTACATTTCTTCTGTGGAATAAAAAACACCAAGAGTAAAATTCTGTGTTGAATCTATGAAATAAATCAGTTTACCACACTCTGAAAACCTTGGGTATAAACCACCTCCTGGCACCTCAATATACTATATACACATAATCACATGGGTTTGAGAGTTAAGCTTGACGTTGGAAAATATTACTCCATATGTCTTGAAGGGCCAAGTTGTAATACATATCTCAAAATTGAACAAAATATTTAATAGACAGAAGTGATAAACTGCAATTCTGCCAAGTAAGCGAAGCCACACTAACTCAGTTTTAGTACCTTGTTAAGAAAACTCTCTTCATCTACTCTGTTGTTGTTTGTGACAAAATCCAAGATGCACCTGACTTGGTCCTTGGCTATTTCAATAAGAGAAATATACTATACGCTATACATGTGGTCTCTACACTAAAATAAGATTCAGTGTTCTTAGTCCAGTGTAGCTGGAGTTTTCTCCAGTCCTGCCTGGCCCACGGTCAGGACAAATCTCTCTCACCCGCCAGTCCCGCAGCCGCTCAGACCCAACCAAGTAAACACACAGAGACTTATATTACTCTGTTGGGTCTGAGCGGCTGCGGGACTGGCGGGTGAGAGAGATTTGTCCTGACTGTGGGCCAGGCAGGACTGGAGAAAACTCCAGCTACAGTCCAGTGCCAAGATTCTTGAGTCTATGGAAGGTGACAGGAAAGAAGAACTTTAAAGTCAATCATCTGCTGCCTAAGGCTGCAGGCAGCCCAGTGGATTGTGTCGATGACTGGACAAACTTCTTCTAAACATAAAATTACCAAAATTAACTGCCTGTACATTTGAAATTGGTGGAGTATCTGCCATGTAAGTTAAGCATTGATAAGATTTATAAAATTGATAAGATTATAAAATTGAGCTTCAGAAGCACACTAAAACCTTGAATCAGAGGCCAGTCCTTATGTATACACAAAGAAGCCTTCCAAGTAACTCTTAGAAACCACTGTTAATCAATGGCAGTAGGCAGCTGTCAAGCTAGTTCACTCACAGGATTGAGTAGGATGGGAGGCAAGAGACAGTGGCCAGCCAAGTACACGTCAACAGAGAGGTTTCGTAAACTAGTCTAGGGAAGTTAATTCTCTGAGCACATTGAGGTTAGTTGTTCAAGTAAAATTCAGGTGCATTTTCAAAAGCTAGACTTCCCTTAGCATTGTAAGCCATCCTTGATCAGAATGCATATGCTGTCGTGGAAGGTGGGGACTTGGGAAACAGAGGGCATTTTTTTTAATCTCTTTTTATGGTAAGCTTCCTCACATATTCCCCCTTTGGCACTCACTAGCCATGGTGAAAAAATGTGGTGGTAATAGACACACCAATAATTTCATACCGGACTTAATACAGCAACAGGCAACCTTCAATTTCTCACTTCTAGGACAGGGCTCTTTGACAAGCCTACTACCACAAATGCGGCTCTGTTTTCACTCCTGGATATAAAATAAACCTCCAAGCCACTTAAAATATGTTAATGGGAACCCCAGTCTGAGAACATACCGCTTGCTAACTGCTCAGTTCATACAGAATAAAAATATATATTCATAATAAAATTTATAATAAAGTGAGCAATTTGACAAATGACAGTATCATTATAACAGTTTCAAAATTGTTTCAGATACTGATGAATGATAATTATATATATTGATGAGATTAAAGTGATACTGTGGTATAGCTATTGTATATTTATACAATGTAGAATTATTGAGTCAAGCAGATTAACCTATCCATCATTCCCAATTCTCATCAGTAATATCACCTGCCCAACTGAAACATTATATTTTTAAATTGTGCACTAATTTTTTTAAAGGATGAGGTGGGAGTTCTCATAAAAGGCTCATTGATTTTCTAACTTTGTCTAAGTGTAATAAGAATGAAAAATCATTCAGCTCTTTCCAAGAGCAGTCTAACTGTAGTTTAATGGGGTTCATTCAGCTCTTTCCAAGAGCAGTCTAACTGTAGTTTAATGGGGTTCACATAGGGTAATAATGCTATTTCTGTGAGGAACAGGTCCAGTGGAGTATCAGCCTGCTAAGGAAAAGCTTACACAGAAAATGTTGTTGAGCATCTGTAGGAAGCAAAGAGACCTAGCTGTCACATGAGGGCAGGAACTTTCTTGCATAGTGCAGATACCATTGCTTAGCAAGGTTAATGCATGACATTTTTCTTAAAAGAATGAGAAAAGTGAGTGGAAAGAATTTGCATCCTACTCCCCACTGAAACTCCAAACGATGCCTCCAAGCACTCCTCATGCCTTTCTTTAAATCCTTTTACCTTAATCTCTTCTCAATCACTGTTTTGATCATGCTTCTGCCATCAAGTTTCCCTTCTTTTTTGATGGTTTATTCTTATTTATGTGTATATGTGAGTATATGCCACATGTGTGGATACCCAAGGAGGCTGTAAGAAGGTTTCATACTCTCTGGAACTGTTCACTCAACTTGTAAGTTGTGCACTGCTCAATGGAGGTATTGGGAGCAGCAAGTGCTGTTAACTGCTGAGCCATTTCTCCATCTCCCAGAATTCTCTTTTCCATGCTCTAACCCATATTGCCAACAATTTTACTCTGTTTACCTCCCATTCAACACATCTGAAATAGTTTATCATCTTTAAAAAAAGATACTAGATTTTTTTTTTGCTCTTAACTCTTTTGCTCTTTTGGGGTGCCCACCACTTAGCTCCCAAATAAATTACGTGGAGTCTTATTCTTACTTATAAATGCCCAGCTTTAGCTTGGCTTGTTTCTAGCCAGCTTTTCTTAAATTATCCCATCTACCTTTTGCCTCTGGGCTTTATTTTTCTTTATTTTTGTATACTTTTCTTCTTACTGTGTTGCTTGCTGTATAGCTAGGTGGCTGGCCCCTGGCGCCTTCCTTTCCTCCCGTTTCTTGCTCCTTGATCTCCTCTTCCCAGATTTATTATCCTCCTTTTTTATTCTCTCTGCCTGCCAGCCCCACCTATCCTTTCTCCTGCCTAGCTACTGGCCATTCAGCTCTTTGTTAAACCAATCAGGTGGTTTAGACAGGCAAAGTAACACAGCCTCGAAGAGTTAAACAAATGCAACATAAAAGAATGTGACACACCTTTGCATCATTAAACAAATGTTCCACAGTATAAACAAATGTAGCACATCTTAAAATAATATTCTACAACACTAGATTCTCATTTGTGTCTCCCTCCTCCCCAGATTCCATATTGAACCTCTAACTTGTATATGATATGACTGTGTTTGGGGACAGGCTCTATGCAAGTAACTTGAGCTAGATGAGGTAAAGGAGGTTGACTGAGACATAACATCCTTTTATGAAGAGACACCAGAAGTGCACCTTCTTTTTAGGGTCATGTGAGGATGTAGAGACTGTTAGTTAAAGTGACTGCTGCTGCGATGAAACTCTGTGACCAAAGCAACCTGGGGAGGAAAGGGTTTATTTGGCTTACATACCCAGAATCAGGCAAGGTCCCCTGAGGGAAGCCAGGGCAGGAACTCAAACCAGACAGGAACCTGGAGGCAGGAGCTGATGCAGAGGCTATGGAAGAGTGCTGCTTGCTGCCTTAATCCTCATGGCTTGCTCAGCCTGCTTTCTTACAGAACCCAGAACCACCAGCCCAGGGGTGACCCCACCAACAATGGGCTGGGCCTTCCCACATCCATCACCAATTAAGAAAACAAGCTACAGACTTGTCTGCGAATAGCCTGAGCTTCTGGAGGCATTTTCTCGATTGAGGTTCCCTCTTCTGAGATGACTATAGTTTGTGTCAAGTTGACATAGAACTAGTGAGGACAGGGGCCGGCCATCTGCAGTCCAGGAAGTAGGCTCTTATCAGAGAATGAACTGGTCACCAGTGTGACCTTAAACTGGAGACTCTCAAATCAGAATGTAAATTTGTACTGTGCAAGCTACTCAGCCTGTGATAATCGTGGCTAACACAGAGTCCAGTTTCCTGGTGGCTTTGACCATGTATCTTCCGCTTAGCAAGTTGAGCCTTGACATCTTTCATCTTCGCTCCTCACCCTCTGGTGTCACGAAAACTTCCTACATTGTACCTCTTGTATCATCTACGTCTCCCGATGATTTATGCTCCCACATTAATCTGGGCTTTGACCATACAACTTCGAGTGTCTTATTAGCGGAGTTCTGCTTTTATAACAGCAAGCTATGAGACTTACAAAAAGTCTGGAACACGTTGCCCCAGTGTAAGCAGCTTAACCCCTGGCTCCCTCTCCTCAGGTGGGTATTCATCTCTACTCCTGTAGCCCTACCGTGAACTTCCTCGGCTGAAATACCGACACTGCCTGCTCCAGCACCTCATGTGGGGTTGCAACTATTCTCGCCCATCTTGGTTTTTTTATTGTGTAACAGAACTCCTTGCAAAACTTTTAAAGTTATCCTTTTGGGTTTTTTTTTTTTTTTTTCTAGGTCCACAGGGAACATCACACTGAGAGTTGAGGAAGCCCTCACCACCCACTAAAGCGCAGGGCCCTGGGTTCTGAGAGGTTGTAACAAGAGCCTGAAAAGTAATAATTGTGACTTTTGTGACCTCCCAGCTCATCTCACAGGGACTCAGAGCTAAATCTCTCTCTCTCTCTCTCTCTCTCTCTGAGTGAGTGTGTGTGTGAGTATTGTGTGTGTGTGTGTGTGTGTGTGTGTGTGTGTGTGTGTGTGTGTGTGAGTGTGTGTGTGTGTGTTCGGGCTGTTGTTCCATTCTTTCTATAAACATTGCTGTAGGAAAGGAAGAGACAGAGAGAAGCCTTTTCATTATTGGCTCAACTATAAGAAAGTTAGTAAGTCTGCTTTACATATTTTACATCATTTTCCCTCTGTGCAGGTGAGCTGCCAGGTGCCGAGGCAGGTCTTTGTGACCAGGGGCTGCAGTAACTTCTGTCCTTGCTGTGTGGAACGGATTGTGATAACAATGTTCTGAGAAGATTTAGGAATGTGCGAAGAAGAGGGATGTTAAATATAAAGTATTGT